GCCCCAAACCCACCTGCACCACCCGGACCAGGCTCTCGGGGTACTTCTCAAACACGGCTGAGAAGGCCTCGACCGGCAGGCGCAGCACGGTGGAGTCCACGGCCGCGCGGGCGCACACCGTCCGGTACGGCCGCTGGTGGCCCTGGGGACACCGGGGGGTCAGGGGTCACCCAGCGCCTTGGGGACACTCGGGGACTGCGTGGCATCGGGGGTTTGGCCGTGGTTGGGTTTGGGTGGCCACGGTTGGGTCTGGGGTGGCCATGATTGGCTTTGGAGTGGCCACAGTTGGGTTCGGGGTGGTCTTGGCTGGGTTTGGGGTGGTCTTGGTTGGGTTCAGGGGGGCCACAATTGGGCTGGGGTAGCCACAGTTGGCTTTGGGGTGGCCACGGTTGCATTTCAGATGGCCACAGTTGGGTTGAGGTGGCAGTGATTGGGTTGGGGTGGCCATGGTTGGCTTTGGGGTGGCCGTGGTGGGGTTTGGGGTGGCCATGGTTGGCTTTGGGGTGGCCACGGTTGGGTTTGGGGTGGCCACAGCTGCATTTGGGGTGGCTATGGTTGGGTTTGGGGTGGCCACAGTTGCATTTGGGGTGGCCATGGTTGAGTTTGGGGTGACCACGGTTGTGTTTGGGGTGGCCACTGTTGGCTTTGGGGTGGCCACGGTTGGGTTGGGGGTGGCCATGGTTGGCTTTGGGGTGGCTGTGGCCAGGTTTGGGATGGGTTGGGGACATCCCAGGCCTTGGGGACATCATAGCCATACCGTGATGACATCCAGGATGCTGAGCAGGCTGTGCACGCTGTCCCCAGGGAACACCTCCTTCATCACTGTCTCCTTCCCATCCTGTGGGGACAAACCCTGTGTGTCCCTCGGTGTCCCCAGATGTCCTCTGGTGTCCCCTGTGTGTCCTTGAATGTCCTTGGGGTATCCCTGAGATGTCCCTGGGCATTCCCTGGGTGTGCTTGGATGTTCTTGGATGTCCTTGGAGTGTCCCTGACAGTCTCTGGTGTCCTCCAGGTGTCCCTCTCTGTCTCCTGGGTGTCCCCAGGGTGTCCCTGACTGTCTCTGGTGCCCCCCAGATGTCCCTCTCTGTCTCCTGGGTGTCCCCAAGGTGTCCCTGACAGTTTCTGGTGCCCCCCAGATGTCCCTCTCTGTCTCCTGGGTGTCCCCAAGGTGTCCCAGGTGTCCCCAGCTCTCCCTGAGGTGTTCCCCATGTATCCCCGGCTGTCTCCCCACTGTCCCCTCAATGTCCCTGATGTCCCCCAGCTGTCCCCAGCTGTCCCCCAGATGTCCCCACGTCCCCTCACCGGCTCGGTGAGCAGCAGCTCCAGTTTCCCCTCCTGCAGGACATAGATGCTGGAGTCGGGCTGGCCCGGCCGGAACACGTCCTCGCCCTGCTGGCACTGCTGGAACACCATGTGCTTGCACAGCTCCAGGAA